GGGACCGAATATTGATGAGTCAAGTATGTTTCCTTGTTGAATGTGATATGCTAATATCTGCATGTTGTGCTTTCATTTTACTGAGTCCTCACAATGCAGAAAATGCTAGAAGAAAGGATGCAGTCCCTCCACAAGCAGGCAGTGGGGTTGCAAACTTGGGAATTATGAGAATGTTTGGTCTGGCTAAATCATCAAAAGTTATCGGACATCAATCTTTAGAATCCAGGGCTGACAAACAAAAGAAACTAAAGGTCAGTATTTATGAAGAATCACTTAGGTTTGGAGAATCTTTTAACGTAAATTAAACAATAACATGATGTCATTGGCTTGTTTGGGCTTTGGCATGAGTCATTAATAATCGTCCAATGAACAGATGCTGTTTCCTTATGAAGAGTTTGTGAAGTTATTTGAATATGAAGACTTCACTTTGTTGCCTAGAGGTCTCATAAATTGCGGGAATAGGTAATATTGCAGATGTCTTTACCCTTATCTCATTTACTTTTGCTATCGAGATATATTTGTTTATTAAAAATAATTGAAAACATCCTAAACAGAAGTTAGCCTTATAGGTAATTTTGCCTGAATATATTAGCAAGTTAGTTACAGCGGTTGTTCGTTCATTTTGCAGTTGTTATGCCAATGCTGTCTTGCAGTGTCTGATGTGCACAAAGCCTTTAACAATCTACCTACTTCACAGATCACATTCTAGAACTTGTAATTTCACCTGATTTAACCCCTTTAATTACTTCCATTCTGTTTCATTTTAAAACGAATTGCAAAATTCACCTATTACATGGACATCAGACTGCAGGAAAGATTGGTGCCTTGTGTGTGAACTTGAGCAACATGCGATGATGTTAAGAGAAAGTGGAGGTCCTCTGTCACCAAACAGGATTCTTTTGCATATGCGGAGCATTAATGGCCAGATTGGAAATGGCAGTCAGGAAGATGCTCATGAGTTTTTAAGGTCTGCATTAAATAACATTTTGCTAATCTTAATGAAGAAAAAAAATGCACACATAGGAACATTGTGTTTTCTTTAACGACTTCAGTGGAAAGTTTGAATATCTTTTTTTTTAACTATTTGTTTCTCAATGGTTGTTCTGTATGTGTGCAGGTTTATTGTTGCTTCTATGCAATCTATATGTTTGGAGGCATTAGGTGGAGAAAATGCTGTTGATCCAAGATTGCAGCAAACAACCTTTATACAACACACTTTCGGAGGAAGACTTAGATCTAAGGTCTAAGATTTCTAGTTTTTTTTCCGGCTTATTTTGAATTGAAAATTTGAATGAATTTTATGCTTTCTTTGTAATTTTACCTAGTAACTTTATGTCTTAATATGACCAGGTCAAGTGTCTGAGATGCCACCATGAGTCGGCGTGCTATGAAAATATCATGGATCTCTCATTGGAGATCTTCGGTTGGGTTGAGTCACTTGAAGATGCATTGACACAGTTTACAAGCCCAGAAGATCTTGATGGGGAAAATATGTATAGATGCGGAAGGTATGTGAGCTTGGTTTTGAATCCCACATGTAGATTTCTTCCCAACTGAACATCCATATTGTTTATTGATACTGAAAAGACTTATGTTTCTGCTTATATTTCCTTAAAAGGTGCGCTTGTTATGTCCGTGCACAAAAACAGTTGAGCATACAGGAGGCTCCAAATATCTTAACGATTGTCTTGAAGAGATTTCAGGTACTGCTTTTTATAGAGGTCACTAGTTACTTGCTCAATGATTTTTGCTGCTTCTCTGACTAGATTAAAAGACACTGCCGAAGCTGTCTTAAATGTCAAATTAAATCTCTAACTAATATACCTCTAATTCTAACAAACCCGATTTTTGGTTATATTGGAAATTCCATTTATATCTTATTCCCGAAAGTCACAGTATTGAATCTACTTTTCATGTCTCATTCTGAAAGACATGCTATTGAAAATCAGTCATGAAAATAATTTACCCTTTTATAAGTTCTAGGCACTTATGGGCCTTAAATTCTATATTTTGCTGACTTCAATATTATTTTCTATTCATTGCTGTTGTTTAAACCTCACTTCTATAATTATCAGGAAGGAAGTTATGGGAAGATAAATAAGTGCATCACATTTCCGGATATGTTGGATATGATCCCATTTATGACCGGGACAGATGACATTCCTCCACTTTACATGCTTTATGCTGTTGTTGTGCACTTGGATACCTTAAATGCATCATTTTCTGGGCATTACATATCCTACGTGAAGGATCTACACCTACGAGGCAATTGGTTCAGGATTGATGATACTGAGGTAATTTGATGCCTGGAGCTTCTTAAATGTTTGTTTTTCTTATGCTTATGCCCAGAAAGAAGGATATGGGAAAGATATGAAGTTGGAGTGTTGTGGTTCCAAAGCTAGTAGGAGGTTGCTAGCCGTGGAATACATCAGGAATAAATATCTGAATGTCTTGTATGCTTCACATTAGTTAGAAACAGGATGTGGTTAATGACTTTCTTTACTTGGAAGTGTTTCTTTTTCCTTCATATGAGTCATGTCCTTAAGACCTAATGGTTACGATATGCTAACTTGTGCTAGGAAAATAGAAATCCTAAGAGTTAGTTGCATGTTTCTTGACCAGTTCCCCCATGAGAAATATAGCTAAGATAGCAAGAGACGTGCTACTTTCAGATGTATCTGATCAATTCTTTTTACTGATAATAAAGGTAGTAGAGCAAGGGACAATGTATACATGCTTATTGAGCAATAGTAGATGTCTGTTTTGTTTATTCTTGAATCACTTGTATTGTAATGAGGAAACCCATGATATCCATTTATTATGTATTTTAGTTGCCTTGCTACAAAACATGGTTTCTTGACTCTCAGCTTAACCTCCCGTGCATATTTAAATGTTTATTGAAGTAAGCCATACAATAATGGTAAAGCTGGTGTGACCTAATGGTCAATAAAGTGGGAGGAGAACCATGAGGTCTCAAGTTCGATTTTGGGTTCCCATCTGCCTAAGTCTTGTGGACAGAGTTACCCGATACCTGTGCTGGTGGGAGATAGCAGGTATCGAGTGAAATAGTCTTAGATGCACAAGCTGCTCTGGTACACCTATGCCATAAAAAGAAAAGGAAAATGACTTCTGGAATATGTTTTGTTGCTTTTTTGGTCTTTCCTGGGTCATGCCTTTCTCTGTTAGGGATGCTCTTGAAAGTTGGAGTTCACGGGATGTTGAGAAAGCCATCAAGAGTATGTCGATGATGATCCCTGGTGTTATCTTTTGGTGTTTATGGACAGAGAGGAACAAAAGATGTTTTGATGGAATTTCAACTTCTAGAAATCTTTTGCGAGGCAGATGTCTAGTTAGCCTTTTTAGTTGGTCCAAACTGACCCCTGTAAATAATTTAGAACTCTTCTTGGATTTTGTTAGCTCTATAGCTTAGAAAGAGGCTACAAATCCTTTTTTTGTGAGCTTAACTGATCTATCCTTGTAAAGCTTGCATCTTCTTGATGCCTTGAAATGAATCTACTTACTTCATCAAAAAAAAGAAAAAAAAGAAAAGGAAAAGTGAATTAGTACATATACAGCAGTTTGGTCCTTGACTGCACTTTTGGGAACCATGCTTGTAAGGATCAAAGGTAAGATTCACTTTGCTTGCTAATTTCTTTTGAGTCACTTTCTTGTTGAGGAATTTCACACCTTTGGCGACAATGCTAATAGGCAACTGTCAAAGGTGAATTCTATGACTTATTGTGCTTCTACTTGTTTTTGCTTTCGTATCTCGTCATACTGTTCTCATAAGTTGCATGTTCTGATACTAGGTACACCCTGTATCCATGAGCCAGGTGATGTCGGAAGGAGCATATATCTTATTTTATAAGAGGTAAAGCACTAGAGAGCTTTGACCTTTACCAAAGGCATGTTAGAAATTATAATCTAGATATCAATTTGGCCAATTCATATTTGTCATCCCTTCAGAAGCTTGTTTCATGACTTGTTAGAAATTTTACAAGATCTCAATATTGAATTGGTATGAAATTTTGTAGATCATCTCCACGACCAGCAAGAAAGATTAGCCGAAGACAAGTTCCTGGAGTTGTCAAGCACTGCCCACCAAAATCAACAAAGACTTCTAGGCCAGAGCAGACAAAAGCGGAGCATCTTTATGTTGGTGTGGATCCTTATACGAATCTTAGGCCGGAAATGAACAGTGACATAATTGATTGCACCTCTGGTGGACTCGTCAAGAACGCTAATAGAAATAGACCGCCGGTTGTGGGAACCTATACCGAGTCAATGACTGCAGAGTTTTCTGATGCTACATCAAGTAATTGGTCCCTCTTTACAAGCTCAGATGAAGCATCATTTACTACTGAGAGTACCAGAGACTCTTTTAGTACTGTTGACTATGGGGATGCAAGCGCTGCTGATCCATTCTCTTCCATCATCAACAGCTTATGTGCATCAGATTATTCATCTAACAGAACAGTCGCGTGTAGTATGTTTTCAAGTAGTAAACCACATACAAGATTCTTTTCAGAAAGTAAGGGTTCTGTTTTGGATTCAACTGCTGGGGCTAGCATTCCGAGACAGGTTACTGTTCCTTATTCTGAAGGTTTTCATAGTGATAGTAGTACCCATGTACATGTAGAATATGGTAGTGAGCCTAGATATGAACAAACTTACTATCCATATAATGTCTAGTTTCTTGAAATTCCAAATCATTATATGTCGAATTAGCTAGGTACAAGCTGTGCTTCTGTTTTGCTAATCAATATTTTATTGAATGGAAGCACATCAATCATTTGCTAGTTCAATGGAACAAGTGGTCCTTTTTATTAATTTGCAGTTGTAAATATGCTTACTGTGGCTAATTATCTTGACAATTTGTATGTTCAATAATCTGCATAGTTGCCCCTTTCATGAAGTATCTCGTGTTCATGCAAGATTAAGGGTTGTATCCTAAGGGAGTGTAAAGTCACAGGAACAAATTTACCGCTGCTCAAAGGCTCCCCCTTAACTTGCTTAATGGAATTATGTTGAAAGATATTGACAACACAGGTGTTTTAACCACCAAAATCTCAGAATCAGATTGTATTATACAATCTATATCTTATTTGCAATATATATAATGTAGCATTCTGGTGATACAAAATTACTAGGGACTTATCAAGTATCCTTTGATAAGTAGTAACAAGAGCCTCTCAAATGGCAAGTGCTTTGTCCAAATCAAAAGTAAACCATATCTCATTAACTCTGTTCTTGAACTCAAAGGGGGAGTTGTATCCCGCCACTGTATACAACGTAGTATTGTCTGCAGCATGGCTTTTGTCGATGGCTGCTGCCCATTTAGTGCCAGCAATACTGGCACTCAGGGCAGCAGCTTCTCTTGGAAGGTCATCATCAGTTATAAATCCACTGAATTGCCTGACCGCAACATATGTTTTGCCCCATTTTTGGAGATGAAGGCCTTCAGCTGGAGGTGGATTTGGCTGGTTCTTCTTAGGTACATAAAAACTCACAACAAATGAGGAAACACAAAAAGGTCCATCACTTGGCTTCACTTGAATGATAACTGGAGCTGTCATCTTTACTGTCTCATGGTAATTGTTCTTCCCTTGAATGTAATCAAATAGCCTGCCAAGCCACATTTTATTATAAGTAGAAAGATTAAACAACAACAACTACGCTTCAATCCAAGCAAGAATGAGTGGGAGAATACCTGAGGAAACCAGTTCTGGTGGCGGAAACATATGAAATATCATCAATGGGAGCAGTAGACATCCACATGGGAGAACTGTAACGGCGAATTTCATAGTCTTTTCCAGATTCAATCAAATCATAATTTGGGCATTCAATTCTTTGACAAGTTGGAGGATAGAAATTCAACTTTGTTGAATAACCGTTGCATAATTTGGAAACAAGGAACAGAAATAAACACAGCCTCATCATCAACAAATTCATACTTACACTAAGCATCTTTATTTCTTTTTGCTGTTTTAATTTGTCAAAATGAATTTTGGGAGTAAAAATATCAAAATGAATACAAACGTTAAAGGTTGTTACAGGTCTTGGTTATGCCACGTCCTAGGCAAAAACATTATCTCAAAAATCCAGAGTCCAGACAAAGCATCAAGGATAAACGGCTATTAGTTCACCACATTTACCATCTCTGGTTCAATTGGTTTGTCTTACGTGAAAAAATACGTCATTTTATATATTCAGCCATACTAACTTTTTACACCTAATATCTTAAAGTGACGTATTTACGATCACAAAATTTAAAGAGTATTTTGATACATTGCTTGCAACTTCAGTCCAAAAAATCATTTTGAAAAAAAATATTCATGCCAAGTTAGACGAAGACAAATAAATTAAAATAAAAGGAATATATAATAAGAGATATAAGTGTATGATTTTAAAAATATATAAGAGTGTTTAGTACAATTTTAATGCTAAGATCATCTCCAACCCATCTCTATTTAACTCTTGATTCTCTATATTTGGAGAGTAAAATAGAGAATGGGCATTCCAACCTCCCTCCATATTACTCTCTATTTTACTTTTTCAATATTTTATTATTATTATTACTATTATTTTCTAATTAACATATTATTTTACATATAATGTCATTAATTAAATATCTAATATTCATAATTCTTTTTAAATGTAATATAATATTTACAAAAATATATTATTTAATATATACTACTTTCACCCCGAATTAAAATATTTTAATTTTTTTCTTCTAATTTTCGTTAATAATATAATTTTATTTTATTATTATTTCCCTATAAGAATGCACAAAATTAAAATGATAAGATGAAAAATATAATTTAAAAATAAAATACATAACATAAGAATTTAAATACAAGATAAAATACAATACAATACATAACATAATAATTAATTTATCACAATAATAATTTAGTAATCCGGTAGGTCGTTTCCAAATTTAGCACTATTTGGAAAAAAAATTAGGGTATGATGGTAGATGAAAATCTCCGGTTTGAACAATTTTTAGGTAGACATAAAAAAATAAAGGACAAAAATACACATTTTGAACTCCGTAATGCATTAATAAAACATTTATGGGAGCAACGTAACAATTTTGAAAGTGAAATGTTTATGTAATTGCATTTCACTTTTCTTTGAATTTGTCTATTAGTTTGTATATTGTATAATATTTTCTTACAATTTATGTTATTTAGAAATTTAGGATAAAATAATTTTATATTAAATAAAAAATAAAATTTTATATCACATGATTATATAAAGTAATTATTTGGGAAAAAAAGGATTTGTATTATGAAATAAGAAAATAAGAATGCAATAGAAATAATAATATAATATTGAGGAGAGAGAGAAAAGGTTTTTTTTAGAGAGTAAAATAGAGAATTGGATTGGAGTTGGTTATCTGGAAAAATAGAGAACTATATATTTGGAGAGTAAAATAGAGTTTAGGATTGAAGATGCCACACCCTAAGGAAAAAAAATGTTTAAAAGGGAGTTGCTAGTTTTTTGGATGAAATCTTGTCGGAAGCGTTACCTCAAATAGATCATGCCGTGCGCAATTCAAATTTAGCCGGGACTTCAATTCGGACTTCAAATTTAATTGGGACTCCAATCCAAACTTCGAATTTAATCGAAACTTCAATTCGAACTCTAAACATCGTGTGAAAAAAAAAGGTTGTAATATACTCTGCAATGCATAGTGCATAGTTGCCACCCTCCCTATTCCCCAAAACCAAAATGAATAAAAAGATATAGGAAAAAGTCCACTGTGTTTCAGCATTTTAATTTTCCTAACAGCACCAATCAGTGGCGGAGTCAGGATTTTCAATAAGAGAGTTCAAAATCTGTAGAAATAGACAGTCAAACTAGCCGAAGGGGATTCAACATCGACTATATATACATAAAAAAATATTTTTACCATGTATAAATATGATAATTTTCCACCGAAGGGAGTTCGGATGAACCCCCTTATTATAAGGTGGCTCCGCCCCTGGCACTAGTAGTACTAAGGTAGAAAATTAAATCATCCTTTTTATATTTTCACATGAAAACATCATTTAACTTGCTAAATTGTTGCAAGGGGTAATTCAATGCACGAAGCATCTCACGTTCACGCAACACAATTTAGTGTACAAAGCATCTCATATATATTCACACAAGATCTTAAAAGAGTAACTTTCACATATAGCAAACACAAAAATCATATTTGTATGCTATATCTATAGTTTGCATAATTGCGCTCCATAGCAAACATAAATATGTATATTTTGCTATACATATACAAAAGAAAGCAGTTGTATATAATCAATTTCTGTTTCGGTATACATATGCAAAAGATCAATTGTATAATCTGTGTTTGTATAAAGCGAGAAAGAGAGAAAGGCAAAAGAGAACTGGGCAGATCTGGGAGAGCGGCGAGCGAGATCTGGGAGAGTGGCGAGCGAGATCTGGGAGAGTGGCGAGCGAGATCTGGGAGAGTGGCGAGCGAGATCTGGGAGAGTGGCGAGCGAGATCTGGGAGAGTGGCGAGCGAGATCTGGGAGAGTGGCGAGCGAGATCTGGGAGAGTGGCGAGCGAGATCTGGGAGAGTGGCGAGCGAGATCTGGGAGAGTGGCGAGCGAGATCTGGGAGAGTGGCGAGCGAGATCTGGGAGAGTGGCGAGCGAGATCTGGGAGAGTGGCGAGCGAGATCTGGGAGAGGGGAGATAGGGGAACAAAAATATATGTATATATACAATTTTCTCTTGCTTTATACAAACACAAACACATTTTATACATTTGCGTTTGTATAAAAGCGAGAGAGGCGAGGGAGAGACTGTCGAGCGAGATTCACTAGGGAGAGAGGTGAAATAGCAACAGTTTGCTACAGGGTACAATTAAATCAAATTGTGGTTATGACATTTAATTTGAATTAATAGTTTACTATTATATACAATTTTTCCAACTTTTAATGGATGATATAAGTGAGGCTTTTTAAAAATTCGATGGCATAATTGAACCTTTCCTTTTTTTAAATGACTCATATTTAATGATGATGAGATTTTGTCCATCTTAAAATGGATCATATGCCAAGGAAGTGTAATGTAAACAGTCTACCCTGATACAAACTTTAGTAGTGACTCATTTAATGACTTGAACTTTGATCGTTTATGACATATAGAGACAATTTTACTGTTACTTCAAGACCCCTCTTCAACTATTGCTAAATTGAATTATGGTTAAAGATCTTGACAACACACAGGTATCATTAACATCAAATTTTCTGAATCAGATTGTATTATACAACCTATCTTATTTGCAATATATAATGTAACATTCTGGTCATACATAATAACTAGGACTTCTCAACTATACTTTTGATAATACAAAAAAGAAAATGAGATAGTAAACTTTATTCTTGAACAATAACCTCTCAAATGGCAATTGCACTGTCCATAACAAAAGTAAACCACATCTCATTAACTCTGCCCCTGAACTCAAACGGGGAGTTGTATTGTGCAACTGTATAAAGCGTACTATTATCTTTACTCCGGCTTTTTTCGATGGCTGCTGCCCATTTAGTGCCAGCAATGCTGGCACTCAGGGCAGCAGCTTCTTTCGGAATATCACCATCAGATGCAAATCCACTGAATTGCCTGACCGCAGCATAACTACTTTCGTTCCATTTTTGGGGGTGTAGGCCTTCAGCTGAAGGAGGATTTTGCTGATTATTCTTTGGTACATAAAAACTCACAACAAATGAAGTAGAGCATAATGGTCCATCACTTGGCATCACTTGAGTCATAACTGGTGCTGTCATCTCTATTTTCTCATGCTTATCATTCTTTCCTTGAATATACATAAATAACCTGCCAATGCCAAATGGATACACTTAACATTTACGTAAAAAGATAACTACGCTTCAATTCCAAACAAGTCTACTGACATATGAATCTCAAGACATTGGAAATGAAGTGTTTTGCCTAGACAAACAAATGTTGGGTTTTTTAGAGGTGTGAGTGAAAAATGAATCGAGAAGACACACGAGAAATTAAAGTTTATATAGTATGAATAACACATTTTCACATTAGAATGATTATGACTTTTTTTTTATAAGACAAAGAGCACCTAGTAGGGTGTAGCCTAATGACCTAAGGTCTACAAAAAAAATCACCTTAATAGACAGAATGAAAGATATCATGTGAAATTAATCGAGTGCATACAAACTGACTCGTACCTGAGGAAACCAGTTCTGGTGGCGGAAACAAATGATATATCGTCAATTGGTTCAGTAGACATCCACATAGGGGAATTGTAACGACGAATTTCATAGTCTTTTCCAGATTCAATCACATCATAATTTGGGCACTCAATTCTTTGACAAGTTGGAGGATAAGAATCCAATTTTGTTGAATAACCATTGGAAATAAGGACCAGAAAAAAACACACTTTGATCATCAAAGAATTCATCCTTACTAGTGAGTATTTCTTTCTTTTTGGTGTGCTACAAAATATAGAGAATGAAGCACGTGAATTTATTGGAAAAATTTGGGAGTAGTAAAGTTATAAGTCAATCCAAAGTTATGATGCTAGAGGCCTTGGTTATGCCACGTGCCCACGTCCTAAGCAACAATATCTTCTAGAGTATACTAATATTTATTTAGACCATTAAAAATAAAGATACATTTTTTAATTTTTTTTATTTTCCACCCGGTGTCAGGTATCCACATTGGAGTTCGATCAAATCCGGATTTGCGTTGGAAAGTCCCACATTGAGGGGTAAAACGTTCCCTAAAATAAAGATACATCCTATCATCATATATCATATAACATAAATCATATATAATATGTGTAGATGCAAAGTTTGATTATCATTTTATTCCTATATAAATCAAATATTTAATTAATTAAATACTAAAAAGTAAAATTTAAATTAATGAATGAATCAACTATTTACAAAGTCATTATTGTAGTAGAGCCCGTTTGACTTAACTTTAAAAAAAAAGTTTTTTAAAAGTACTAATTTTTAAAAAGTCAAACTTAAGTAACTTTTAAGTTAAAAAATGAAAAGTAGGGAAGTACATGCTTTTAACTTTTTAAAGTTATTTTTAACTTTTTCAAACATTTCCAAGCTAAAAATGACTTAAAAATATGTTTGACCAACTTTTAAGTCAATCAAAACTGACTCTTAATTTACTAAGCACTTATTACAAAGTCATCACAGTTAGTTTTTGGTCTACCAAACACTAATTACAACGTTATCGATGTAAGTTTTTGGTCTACCAAGCACTAATTACAAAGTTATCAATGAAGGCTCTTGGTCTACCAAGCACTAATTACAAAGTTATCACTGTAAGTTCTTGGTCTACTAAACACTTTTTATAAAGTCATCACGGTAAGTTTTTGGTCTTCCAAGAACTTGTTACAAAGTCATAACCATAAGTTCTTGGTCTACCAAACACTTATACAAAGTCGTAACGTAAATTTTTGGTCTACCAAATACTTATTACAAAGTTATTACCGTAAGTTTTTGGTCTACCAAACACTAATTACAAAGTTATCGATGTAAGTTCTTGGTCTACCAAGCACACAACGTTATCACAGTAAGTTCTTGGTCTACCCAACACTAATTACAAAGTTATTAATTATTAGTATATAGAAAAAAAATTGTTGGTGTAATATACCAAAAATACAATAAATTACAGTTGAAATAAAATGAACAAAAATGAATAAATAAATTTTTAGGCTGAAGCGCGGATATCTTGCTCTCTTTAAGGATATTCAAGCCCACTGCGGCATAATCCACATCGATCCAGCAATAACACTCTTGACTTGTCTGTCCAGGATACAACAGTCCAACAATGTCGTACAACTCAAGCAACTCTAGATTAGTTGAAGAGTCTAAAGGTCCACATAAGAACACCTTCTTCAACATATATAATTACTCTCTTCTTTGTATTTGAAGACCTAGAATATTTTCTTTTATCTCAACTCTCTCTCTTTCACTACACTAACTCAATATAAACTTCTCATTTTTTCTTACATTATTTCTCTTGTATCTTTTTTCTTCTTCTTTTCACAAAGTAAAACCATCAGTATTTATAAGTGATGAATTCTTCTTTACAATAAATAAGAAGATAATTGGTAGTAAATTGGGCAAATAAATGACTCAAAGGTTACATAAGTTACAAGAATAATTAGGTAAAATAATGGTTAAAATGAAAAGTTGATGGTTACAAGAGTTACAACAACTAATGACCACATTCTTACACAATTGATGAGAGTAATGAGACACAAATGTAATGTCCACCAATGGACATAACATGATACATAATGTGACATATGATATAATAATATTAAAATGTCACACTAACATATGCAAAAGTATTACCATTTTCTCCCTATAATAAATTAAATATTAATAAGTAAAATTTAAATTACTTAATGAATCAACTAAATTATAAAATAAGTTCTTAATCTACCAAACACTTATTACAAAGTCATTAGTATCAACCTATTTACTCTTTTGAAATTACTTTCATTTATCAGTAATTATTACCAAGAGATCTACAATTTGTATCTATTTGATGCCATTTAATTTATCAGTTACATTTTTTTGCAAAAAAAAAGTTTACAATTATTTTTAATGTAAAAGTTAAGTATAAGTGAAAAATTGAAATAGAAATTTATGTTGTACTTATTAAATTTACTCTTTTATTTTTATGGATAATGTATAAAAAAATAAAATATAAAAGCAAACCACGAGAAATAAAAATCATATAATAAATGCAATGAGTCTTTTCATTACCTCTTATTATAATACCCTGTAGACTAAGAATCTAATTAAAAGTACTTAAATGGAATTTAAATAATTTACCGTTTCAAGCAAATGAAGAGACTATATCACTATTCATATATGTTGAATCAATATCAAGTAGAAAAAGTCATTATTTTAAAATATTATGTGGGTCATTGATTTGAAGAATTTGACTACTAATTCAATGTAATTGTTGATAAAAATCATATAAAAAGGCATTTTAAGCTCTATATATTGCGAAATCAAAAAGCTAAAGCAAACTGTAGTATTGTCATTATATGTATTATAAGAATACATGAATGTATGAAATAAGCAGTTTTCGTAGTATGCCAAAAAAGAAGAAGAAGAAGAAAGGCTACAAATTCGAAATAACGATTAAATGCATTTATATAATAATTTGAATTTGAAGTTTGTTCGAAGTTGTTCCATTTAAAAAGCGTTATCTTTTAGGAAGATAGGATAAGACAATTTTTCTTTTCAACTTTAGTTTATTATTCAAGACATAATCTAATAACTTTATTTAAAATATTATATACTTATTAACATGGAGTTATGCGCAAAGCGTGTGCCCATAAACTAGTATCTAAAGCATACATTAATTATGTTTTTTCTTTAAAAAAATTACACGATGTCTCATTTTTCTGTCTGAATTACCATTATAATCATTGATACAATTATATATCATATGCGAAATGGAATAATCATATCTAATGGGTTAAGACTTAAGATTATTTACTTTTATATAAGATAATAATGTACCATTTTAATAAAAATGAGATAAAATAATATTATAATTAACTAATATCTCAAATCAAATATCAAATAATATACCCTATACTTTTTCTTTTATACCCTATACTAAATAACCTTTTAAGGTTTTTTTGCTACAAAATATAACAAGGTAAAAAGTTAAAATGCTAGGGTATTTTAAAGAAATTGCTTCCACTGTTGGTAACCAATAAAAATTGCCTTAGAGTATAGAGTGGTAAACACCTTTTTTTCTTAATTAGAGATTCACTAAATATGAAGCCCTCTTTGTTAGGCAATACAAGACTTTTTTGAAAAAATTCATATTTAATCGAGCTCCACGTAGTGAGTGGAAACTAGAAAAACTAGTCGTTGCTTGTTTAGGGGGTCAAATTTGGTCATTTCACTTTAAATAAGTATATAGCAGATGGATTAGGGTTTCAAACTTGATATGGACTCTGGCTGCTGAGGCTGCACTTAAGATTTTGGTATTTTTTCTTTCTTTCTGGTGGATTCTGCTCTGTTTCTTCTGTGTTATGTTCTAATCCTGCAGTTTTTATTTCTGTTTCTGTCTCTGTTCTAATCTTATTTAAGTGAGTGAAGGGATTGTTATGAACTTATTGGTAAAAAGGATCAATCTTTTTCGCTTCTCCAACTAAAAACTGAGTTTAATTTATTTGAACATGGATATAGAAGAGGAAAATGATGAAATATAGCAGGTACTTATGATGGATTTGTGACCAGATTGTACTCCTGGTGCTGCCAATTTCGGCTGTGCTGAGCTTCTAGGACACATATATCTGGTTGATTATCTAATCAAATACTTGCTGATTCCTTTTCTATCCTTTGTTTTAATCATCTTGCTATAAATTTTGTGCCTTTTTTACACTCTTACTAAATGGGCTAAACATGTTATGTGTAAAGTTGAAATTTAAGAGTTGCTAAAAGGTAAAAAGTCATTCTTTTTGGAACGGACTAGAAAACAAAGTAGGCCGAACTATGTGGTTTGCGAGCTACTGCATAGGAGCGGGGTTTTACCTGTGCGCACCCAAAGGGTAGCGGCTGTGGGTTTCCCTTGTCATAAAAATAAAAATAAAATAAAAAGTAGGCCGAACAAATTGGAAGGTAGTGAGTAGAAGCATGTTATTCCAATTGCTAAACTGTCAAAAGATCTTCTTTGTTCTGTTGACTTCTACATCTGTGGGAATGGGAATTATGTGCTTCTTTATATGGTCTTAAGACAATTTTCCTCGTGAGTTAGCTTTTAAGTTGAGTTAGGCCAAAGATCCATTTTTTATCATATTCCCACCATTTCTATGTGTCTATATATGTTTTCTAATTTGAATTGCTGAGTGACTTTAGGTTCATAGTGAAGTAGCTGTCTGAGCTGAGTTGGTGAATAGAATGGAGGAATCAGATTATAGTTATTTAAAGCAGTTCATAACAAGGAACGAAGGTTGCATTGCATTACATACATGAAGGTTAGAAATACATCAACATTCACTAGAGTTAGAAAAACATATGAAGAAATCATGTTTTGGTTCTTTAACAAACATCAAGTTGATTTAGTTTTTCTGCTTACTCTTTTTTGTAATGTCCCTGTTACATTTTTCTCTCATCTTTATTATGTGATGATTATTATTGTGTCATTGATACAAAGAACGATATGAATGGAGATTGTCTGTTTCAAATTTTATCAGCCTTTATGGTCATGATTGTGATTGTTGGAACTAGATGATGATGCCGTAGTGTTTGTAGCATCAAGATGTTCGCCTCCCAATTGTTCTAGTGCACCCTTCTCGATTTTCTCCCTTTTCACGATTTCTTCATCTATATGTATATCTTCATCAATTGTCAGAATGACAGCTTTTGTTCCATCTGGACGGGTTACGATATCTTCATGGACTTTCCTATGTTCATCCACTTTCACGATATCAATTTCCTGAGAGGCTTTCTTCTTTTTCTTCTTAAGGAAGCAGCACAGAGCAACTGAGAGAAATGCTAGAAAGAACAGACCACCAAGCGAGACGAATATAATGATGATGGTATGTGAATGATGTCCTGGTGGAGATGGGGGTGGAGTTGGAACAACGTGTGGTGGTGGTGGAGGATAAAAAGGACGGGGTGGTGGCTTAATTGGTGATGGAGGTGGTGGACTAGGATAATGATGTGGTGGTGATGGTGTAACCGGTGGACTTGGACGTGGACGTGGAGGTGCAGGTGGTCTAACCGGTGGACGTGGTGGTGATGGTGTAATTGGTGGACGTGGTGGTGTCACTTTTGGTGGCGATGGTGTAACAGGTGGACGTGGTGGGGCCACTTTTGGTGGTGATGATGGTGTGACTGGTGGACGTGGTGGCACCACTTTTGGAGGTGATGGTGCAACCGGTGGGCGTGGTGGGGCCACTTTCGGAGGGAAAGGAGGTGTATTAGGTTGGTGGGGTGGTGACACACTTGGTGGAGGAAATGGATAGTTATGAGGTGGGAATGGAGGGAAGTAAGGGAAGTTGAAATTTTGAACATTTGCCATTGCGATGGAAGTTTTTGTCACTTTGCTAAAAGCTTATACTGAGTAAGATGTTTGATTGATGATGCTTATTGTTAGTGTTGAGTTTGAGTATATATATGACTTAGGTGTTAGTATGATAATACTTGTAAGGTTGTTATAACTTGACTCTTAGGCTAAGTTTTGCCAAGTTGTCATTGATTGCATTCCAAAACACTCATTTTTATTCATGTTTCTTAGGCATGTCATGCTGATCAAATGTTCATACCATGAATTTTTGGTCTCACTTAACCATGAATTGTTTCAAGCAACTAGGTTCACTTCAACATTTGCATGTGAGACAAAACTTGTTGTCAATTGAATAGGTTCACTGTCTCCGACTTGCTGAGATGTTCTGAACTCCTACGTCGTAGGTAAGACTAATTTAGGCCCATTACTAAAACTCAATGGACAACTTTTTAAGTGAGGCCAAAAGTTCGAGACCAATCCTTTTCGGGGCTTTCTTGCAGAACATCTTTTGAAAGTTGTAGCAAGGCTGGTTCTTCTAAAATGGGCTGGTTTGTTGGCCCAAGTCCCAAGGTGTAACAAAGGCCCAACCCACCAAAAATATGAATTTGTGGTAAAATTAGTCTTAAAGTTGTGGCTTTTACACTTTGCAAATAGTGTTATTAACATCTGCAAGATTTTAATTTACTTAATTGATATTCATGTGATGCTTTTTTAGTTTATTTACATGTAATCCTTTTGATTATGTCAATTTTGATCTTCATTTATATCTAAGTAGGTCAACTAATACCATTATTATTTCCCAAGTCAAATATGAGCTAGGATTAAGGAACTAAAACAATGAAAAGAAAAGTTTAGAGAAAGTGCTGGTGATTTAATTTTTTAGACAAAACACACAAAAAAAAAAAACTAATCAAGCATATACTTTGTATATATTCAATGAATTATTTTTAATTCAAATATAAAATTCTTCAAAGCTCAAGCCTATACAAGAGCGACACCTATCATCTTTGAAGAGACATTTCAAATATTCTACAAAATTATGATTATTCACAAAGAGATCAAAACATCAAATATTATCTTTTTTAAAGAATTGTATCAGATGCATATCAACAAACGAGTTATGTATTGCTAGGAGGATTCGAGAGTGAACCCTTCACTAGATCCGCTCTGGATTGTATATATGACTCAAAGATTATATATTCTACTTTTAGTCTTCCATCATTAACTAGCTTAATTGATTAATAAACTAATCTTTAATCAAGTACTATATGGATTAATAAACTAATCTCATGATTAGCATTTCCCAGGTCAAATATGAGCTCGATTTAGGAACTGAAAAGAAAAGTTCCGAGAAAGATTTCTAATTTGGGAAAATTGGGTTTTGGGCCACATTTGAATATGGGTTATGGGCTTACTATGAGGCATTGCCGTATGGGCTGAAGTAATTTAATATTATAATTTACAGGGGTAAAAAACTTAAGTATACTACTATAGAGGAAAGGCTCAAAATAGTCTCTCATCTTTGGGTTAAGGCTCAAAGTCATCCTTGAATTTTCACATGAAGCATTAATAGTCCCTTATGTTTGTAATATTGGTGCACTTTTGGTCCCCCTCCAAAATTTTGCCTATTTTTTAACATTTATTTTATCCATAACTTATGTATGATATGTTCAATCGTCATTTTATATATTTAGTAGAAATAATAACTCCATATGAGAGAATGTGAGAAGAAAAACATCTTGTTTTGTTAAGTAGAAATTGTATTGTAGGTAAAGTCGAGAAGTTCATCACGATAATTTCACGTGCAATAGTATAACTTTTTTTCTTTTCTTCCAACGTCATATGTTAAGATGTTCTTAGTTTAGCTGCAGTAATATTTCTACTGAACAGAACAATGTGTTCTTCTTATCACCTTCTTTCACATAGAGTTATTATTTCTACTAAATATATAAAAAGACGATTGAACATTCCTTACATAAAATTGTGGACAAAATTAATGTTAAAAATAGGCAAATTTTTTTAGGAGGACCAAAAGTGCACCAATATTGCAAACATGAGAGACTATTAGTGCTCCATGTGAAAACTCAAGGAAGACTTTAAGTCTTAACCCAAAGATGTGGGACTATTTTGAGCCTTTCCTCCCGAGAAAGTGTTGGTGATTTGATTATTACAACTTTGAGTACATAAAAATGTCAAACTAATATACCTTCTACATATTCAATAATTTTCTTTAGTACAAATACAAAGATATTCAAATTCTAAGGTCCGACAGAATTTCTCAAAGGCTACTCTAGCCTAAAAATAACTTAAGCCTATAAAAAGGAACACATTTCTTTATGTCGAATACCCCATAACATCAAATATTGTTGCTCGACGTTTTTAGCGATAAAATGAAGTTTATATTGTACAAAATTAAAACACAAGAATCAAGAGATAAATAGAATTGTACTCAGATACTTATTAGGAATTATTATTTTTTACTGGTGATTGTATTTTAAAATTTGTTGGGAACAGCTGACTTGCTATAAATAGTCTCTAATTAAAGTAGTTGTCAAGCATATTTATTATGGACTTAATAATTATTGTGCCTATACTTAGCTTTTTTGTGATACCGATTTCGTTCCTTTTGTGTGCCATATGCCTCGGCAAACGCCAGCATGATAAAGATAAAGCTCAAGCAAGCGATGTGGAAATAGGCGGTGGAGGGTTCGGATTACAAGATGGGAATTTGGTTGTTTTGGCTGGCGCTACGTCTCAGGGTTGTTGTTGTGGTGGTGGTGGTTGCGGGGGTTGTGGTGGATGTGGTGGTTAATTGAGTGAGGACAAAAGTTCGAGATCAATCCTTTTCGGGGCCATTCTTGCGTATCACCCTTTGAAAGTTGTAGTAAGTCTAGTTCTTTAATGAGTAAATTTTAGGTTTAGCAAACATAAAAATCATATTTGTATGCTATAACTATAGTTTGCATAATTGCGCTCCATAGCAAACTTTAGTGTATAGGACGAAAATATATGTATTTGTATTTGTATATACAGTTTTCTCTCGTTTTATACAAACACAAACACAATTTATACATTTGTGTTTGTATAAAGTGAGAGAGGCGAGGGAGAGTGGCGAGCGAGATCTGGGAGAGTGACGAGCGAGATTCTCTAGGGAGAGAGGCGAACGAAAAGATATGTATATATACAGTTTTCTCTCGCTTTATACAAACACAAACATAATTTATACATGTGTGTTTGTATAAAGTGAGAGAGGCGAACGAAAAGATATGTATATATACAGTTTTCTCTCGCTTTATACAAACACAAACATAATTTATACATGTGTGTTTGTATAAAGTGAGAGAGGCGAACGAAAAGATATGTATATATACAGTTTTCTCTCGCTTTATACAAACACAAACATAATTTATACATGTGTGTTTGTATAAAGTGAGAGAGGCGAACGAAAAGATATGTATATATACAGTTTTCTCTCGCTTTATACAAACACAAACATAATTTATACATGTGTGTTTGTATAAAGTGAGAGGGGCAAGAAAGAGACTGCCGAGCAAGATCAGGAGAGAGGCAAGCGAGAAATCTGGAGAGAGAGGCGAATGGCGGCAAAGTGTTTACTACGGATTATAATTAAATGAAACTGTAGTTATAGTATTTAATATTAGTTAACAAATTGCTATTTTATACAATTTTTCCTTCTTTAAAAGAGCTAGTTTCAAATATATATATAATAAAATATTTATTTTATAATAAATATAGTCATGTTTCTTTTATATAAAAAATACTTATTTAAAAGTAAGTATACACTAACGGTAAGATATATATTGCTAAAAACCATATAAAATATGCACAGACTATACAATTGTTTATCTACACATGAGCTATACATTATGATACAATCAAAAAATTGAATATAACTTAACTATACATGAAGTATACACTGATTATTCAATCTCGATCAACTCAAAATCACCTCTAAACAACCTCACATTTTAGATATGAAATCCTCTCGATGTTTTGAGTCTTTTAGTATATAATTCGCTTGAAACAATTCACGTTTATGCTACCTCAAATAAATAAAAAATAGGAGATAAGAATAAGAAAACGAAGAAGACTGAGAAGGAGGCAGTAGAATAAGAAGACGAAGAATAAGGATGAAGAAGAAGACTGGCCAAATTTTGAAAGATAAAAATGTCAAATGACCACTTATATCGTGATAAGTGGCTTATTTTTTTAAGTGAGCTATTTTTTGTATAAAAATTGGGGAACTTACATAAATCTCACTAGTTTGAAAGTTTATTACTTAATTAGATACACTCTAGTTTGCAATATTACGTATTTTACGAGATTTTGGGTTGTCTATATACATTAAAATACGTTTAGATACATGTAACTGTGGATACAATGGGGTCAAAATTATGTGTAATTTGTTCTAGATATATATTGTATTCAAATGGATTTACATGTATCTGCTAGGATACATAACAAATCTCGCTCGCCTCTCTCCATTTCGCTCGCCACTCTCCCATTTATATGGTATCCCAAATGCATGTGAATCACATCAAATACATACATATACATGTATCTAGTGTGTAACTAATGTGATTCACATGTATCTGGGATACATACGAATTTCGCTTGGCTCTCTCCTTATTTTTGTGAATCTAATAGCAAATATACATGTATCTAAGTGTATTTTCCTTAATATATAGTAGGATATTCTTAGTTAGTGGTAATATACGTAATATTTTGAAAGTATAGGTAATAATAGCGTAAATGGTGGTGAAGTATGTTTGGAGTTTTTCCTAAAAACTTTTGACATTTTGTCTAATTTGCGCCTTTTAAAATGGACTGGTTTGTTGGCCCAGGGTGTAACAAAGGCCCAACCCACCAAGAAATATTGCACTAACAAGGTTTAAGCTATTACACTAACAAATTTTCAAATAGATTAAACATGTCATTAACATCTGCAAGATTTTAATTTAGGGTACTTTCGCAAATAACCACTATAATAAAATTAATTATGTTTCATAGCTATAGTTTGCATATTTACGGGTTGTAGCTACAGTTTAAGCTGTCTCGTTTGTATAATTCGCAGGTTTGTATAAATCGTGGGTACATTAGTATAATTAAGTTATTTTTGTATAAATTCGAAATAACGAAGTTATACAATTACAAAATGTAAACAGCTATAAAAATTATATTATACAAAATTCGAATTATACAAAACTAAAAAGTTGAGTCGCGTAATTATAGCTAAAAGTAGGTCGTGAATTGTAATTAAGGCAAACTATAGCTATGTTACTAATTATCTAGTATATGTCTGCTTATATGCGCATAATTTTCCCTTTAATTTATTTAGTTGGTATTCATGCGATGTTATTTAATTAGTTTATCTACAACGTAATCCTTTTGATTATGTCAATTTTGTTCTTCATTTATATGTCCAAGATGTTGGGCAACCATAATATTGACTTAAAAATTCAAACAATAGCATTAAATCAAGATTACATTGACTTTATTAAGATGATTGTTAATTAGGTCTTCCTCTTTTCTGGATATTGTGTGACTCAGACAAAGAATATTCAGGTATTAATCACCAATTATATTATTTGTTTGGCTGACAAGCAAATCTACTTGCAAAGAAAGGTACTATAAAGTTGTTAGATTAATAAACTAATCCTTGATCAGGTATATTTATTAATAATCTAATCTCATTAGCATTTACCAGGTCAAATATGAGTTAGGATTTAGGAACTAAAAAAATGAAAAGTAAAGTTCCTAGAAAGTGCTGGTGATTTGATTGATTGCGACTTTGAGTACACAAAAAACTAATCAAGTGATATACTTTGTAAATATTCAATAATTTTTAATAAATACTTTATGCATAGAAATTCTTCGAGTCAGGCTATTCTATCCTACACCTAGTTCAAGCTTAAGAAAAAAGGACACTTATCCATTGAAAGGCATATGTAATATCTCACCAAGTGTTAGGTATTCACAAAGAGATCAAACATTAAATATTATCTTTCTCAAAGCCTTGTTGCTCGATGTTCTAGGCAGTTACAAATATATCATACGAAAGTTCATATCATCCTAAGTTCAAGAAATATACCATTAACACTGTAGAGAAAAATAACCAAGAGATGAACACATGGGCGTATTTAAAATTTTGAGAGGAGAGGTGCACTACTATAAAAAGGTGGGACTAATATATAAATTTTATCGGTATGACCTTTAGGTTTTATCACTTGAACTCGTTAAACATTAAAAATTATAGGTCCAAAATTACTTTTTATATACGTGAGAGGTGTTACCCAATTCAAGACGAAAAAGACAAGATAGATATATAAGATTTAAATTTCTATCGTTACTTAGAAAGGTGCATCCAATAATCATTGCATTATATAATATTTTGAGTGTGGATTAACACATCTATATTTAAGTATTTAAAAAATAATTATAACACTACTCTACATAATCTCAAAAGGAGATCATGGGTTCACATGAACCCGATGAGCCCCTCCTAGATACGCCCCTTGGATGAACATGAACAAAATTGTACTTATATATTTATCAATAAAATCACTATATCATCATATTTTATTTGTGATTACAGTTATTTTTCATCACTTTAAAATTCACTCATATTGACTTGCTATAAATAGGGTCTAATTAAAATAGTTTACAACTATATTTATTTACTATGGAGTTACTCCTTCTTGTGCCCATACTCTGCGTTATTCTGATACCCGGTTCCTTCATTTGGTGCGCCATATGCCAGATGTATAAGAAAAAACCTCAAGCAAGCGATGTGGAAATAGGCGGTGGGGCCAGCGGATTACGACACGGGAATTTGGTTCTGTTGGCCGGCGCTGGAGCAGCTGCCGTCGCCGGTGGTGCAGCGGCAGTGGTTGGTAGTAGTGATAGGGACAAAGGTTATAATAATAACACTAGTGGTGGTGCTGCTGCTGCAGCAACTGGAACCAGCACTACTGCAGATGCTGGTACATCGTCGTCCCAGGGTTGTTGTTGCGGTGGTGGTGGTGGTGGTGGTGGTGGTTGCGGTGGTTGTGGTGGTGGTGGTGGTTGCGGTGGTGGTGGTGGCGGTTAATTTGAATTAATTTATAGTTTTGACACCATTAATTTCGATTTGTTTTTTTACTTGATGTTTTGTATTTGTATATGGAGTATAAATTAATGTGGATAGGGTTTTTCCTTTTCTTTTTTTTTTATGCTATTTATCATGAAATTTTATTTATGGAATTATATAATATGTGTGGCTGAAAAATAGTATCATGTGGAAAAGGTGTTAGGACGATGTAAAATTTCTAGTTTATCTGGTTGAACTAGGAAATAATTCTCACACCGCTAAAGCTTTATTTTTAAGTAGAGAAATAAAATTTAACCGGAAAAAGAAAATTAGCCGTTTAAATAAAGTTGAAATTTTGTGGATGACATTTGAACTTCAGTAATAAATACATGAACTTCTGATAAAAATAATAAAATTTCGATAAAAATATTGAAGTTCTATTAATTTTATATTTAAACTTCACCTATATAAAACTTTAAATTTGGGTATTTTAAACTTCAAACACAAGTCAAACTTCCTGATCGAGTGAGTATACGCGCAGAAAAGTTTATAAAATGGGACAAGTTAATCATGTCAATAGACTATAAAAAATCCACAATATATATGCATTGAATAACAAGCTAGTAGTGACACTATAACCCAAAAAAAATCTTTAGCGGTAATATATATGTATATTAATAAAGACAGTTAAAATTTTTATTGACATTAGTTAATTGTCATTTGATTCAATATTGTTATAGGCTTAAGGGACATTTACCATCCGTGGCGGTCCTACCTTGTGCATATGGGTGCTTAAGCATCCACTGCCTTTTGTGACAAACATTAGTGCTATTTATGTATAAAATTTAGTATTCCATTGAAATGTATTAATTGAGCACCCATTTAATGTAGCAATTTATGAGCTAAAAAAATTTGAGCACCCATGATATAAAATTTCTGGATCCACCACTGTTTACAAAGAGTGTTAATTGCCTTTAAAAATATATATTTAGCAATAATTTATCTATTATCATCAATTAATTGTCGTTAAAGATCATTTTTGGTATAGTCTGATATTAATTGATTTACACTTCTTTTGTGGTAATATTGAATCTAATTGTGGCTATTACACATGTTATTCATATCCGCAAGATTTTAATTTATATAAGTACATGCTATACTCAGGGTGATGTTTTTTAAATTAGTTTGTCAGCACGTAATCCTTTTTTATTATGTTAATTTTGTTCTTCGATCATTTAAACCCTAAAAGAAGGTCAACCATAATATTGACTTAAAAATTCAAGCTGTAGCATTAAATCAAGATTACATTTTCTATTTTTAGGTTTGTTTGGCTGAAATGCGAATCGAATTGGAAAGAATGGTACTAAAATTGTAGATTAATAAACTAAATTTTGATTAAGTAGATTGATTAATAAACTAATAATCTCATGTCAAACATTTGCCATGCAAATATGAGCTTGGATTAAGGAATTAAAAAAAAATGAATTAGAAAAGTTCCGAGAAAGCGCTGGTGATTTGATTAATTACAACTTTGAGTATATATAAAAATTATTCAAGTAATATACTTTGTTTATATTTAATAATATTTTAATACAAATTAAATACAAAGTTTTTCAAACCCTAAGACCCCGTTGAGATTTTCCGGAGGCTACTTTATCCTGAACTGTAGATCACGTCTATAAAAAAAGACACATTTTTCTAGACATGTCGAATATCCCATAAAGTTTCGGGTTTTCACAAAGCCTCAAGGCTTAAGCTATATTACCAAATAGAAGTAGAACTTAAATGAAAAAGGGAAAAAGATTAGGAATTTTTGACCAAAATAAGCTATTTTAAAAACCAATTCACCAAACTAATACGCTTTTTAATTTTTTTACAAAAGTAGTATAAACATACTTCATGGTAACGTTTTAGGTTATTTTTATTTTAAAAATTCAACGGACAAAAACTGATGGGGTTGACGATGTTAAATAAATAAACGTTACTATGAGTAACGTTTTAGGTGTAAAACGTTACTATGAGTAACGTTTTGAGTGTAAAACGTTACCCACATATTTTAAACAGAAAAAGTGAATTGTGGTCACGTGGACCTTTTATTCATTCATATCCACAAATGTCACCATCCAAACAAAACAAAATACCAAAAGAAAATACAGAAGGAACTTTGCAAAATACATTGGTTAGTCCAGATCTACAACTATGGTGGTTTTGAGAAACCTTCTTCTTTCACTTCATCTCAGCCCCTTCAGCTTCTTTCCAGGTATGTGTCCAAGTCCATTTCCAAGATTTTGCAGCTACGAATCGATTTCCCTGACGTTCTTGTTCCTCTCTTTGCAACGAGGTAGTCACCCTTGGCGGCGATTGACCAGAATACCAACGACCCCAGCATCACTCAGATCCAGCTCACTGGTGACGCGGGAGTTCTCAGTAAGCAATTTAATCTTTGTTGTGTTGTACTCCACCATGTCTTGTACTATCATGCCTTCTTTTCCTTAACTGTTATTGTTGCAACTAGACGAAGAGATCATCAATTTTATCTTTGAATCCCTGTATGAATGTTATATTTTATTCCTGTGTATGCTCTGTTCACTGATTCTTGATTGGCCTAGTTCAGGTCAAACCTAATTCGTGGATAAACGGTAGCTCTTCTATTTCAAAATCAATTTTGGGGATTTCTTGTTATATCGAGTTTCACGATAAATTATGGCTATAAATCTTTCGAAAAGCTTGGAATCAAGTTAGTTTTTCTGTGTTAGAGCCTTGAGGTACCCTAGTAACGTACTAAAATAGGGACCCACAGCAGATTAAAAATAATTGAACATTTCGTTAGCAAACCGGGTATTATTACGGTCAAAAGGGTAATATACCATTTTAGACCATAAAATACTAGGTGAAAAGAACCCATCTGGAATTGAATGAATTTTTTGAATATTCCAGATAAAAGCTGCAATTTCATGTTTCAGGTTCACAAAGATATTATGATCCTTAGCATACTTTGCAGCCTCCTTATCGACTGTATCGTCCACTTTTAAGTCAAAACTACGGACGGAATTGTCTAATAAGTATGTTTTTTGTTGTCTAATAAGGGGGTACTTTTCCAAGTTGGTTCCCAAGACATCCCTAATTCCAAGGGAATGTTTTGGAGCTCTATCTTCTCGAATTTATATCGTTTTGGTTATATAGAATAATCACTCAAGAAATTCTGATTTGTAAATTGTGTTTTCATTTTGAATTGATGCATCTTGTTGATGCAAAGAGAAACAATGAAAAAAATGTTCACATGAAAATGGAATGGAAGACTATAACATGTTGACCTGCAATCGGCCTCTACTAAAATTGAGTTCATTTTCCAAATTTTTAATGAAACATTAGGTGATAATACATTTATTTTGATTTGCTTGTTATATTTTGAACTAACATTAATATTTAATTTACTTTCATACGTGTTTTTCATTTTAATAGATACGTATATGGCTGGTTATAGTGCATACCAATTGGATCCCGGTCCACTTGAACCATCAGTATTAACTCAACAACTTACCCATAGGTCACGGGATATATGGGATGGAAATGTTAATATGATTTTAAATACGAGGAGGTGTGATGGAAAATTTTGGGACCTCGTAAAGAAATATCCCATTCATCCACGAGTCTTAGAAGTGATTGAATTATTAGAATTATATGTTGTTTATATATCAAATCGACCTAGTATTGATCGTAGCTTGATCACTTCACTAGTAGAGATATGGCGTCCTGAGACTCATATGTTTCACTTTAGGACGGGTGAGGCGACAATCACCTTGCAAGATGTAGAAGTGTTGTATAGCTTACCTGTGAATGGTGATCCAGTACTTGGTGATGAGTCGATAAGGACCATATGGGATTGGCAAAATATTTGTCAAAGATTGTTAGGTTTTATTCCACGTCCTCAAGACTTCAACCGTAGTAGCCTCAAGGTAACTACACTTAATGCACATATGCTCGAGCAACTACAGTTACCTGACTTGGCAACACAAGATATGATCAATCAAATGGCTAGATGTTACATGTTTTGGATAATTGTTGGTATGATGATGGCAGATACATCTGGCAACTATTTAAAGCTTATGTTCCTTCCTATGCTTGAGGATCACAATGTAGTTAGCTCTTATAGTTAGGGTAGTGCAACTTTAGCGTGCTTGTATCTCTTTCTTTGTAAGGCCTCAAAGAGTAACCAAAACGAGATAGCTGGATTTCTATCACTACTCCAGGTATACTTAATAACTACATCAATTATTTAAAAATATTTCTTCTAGTTCATAATCTCATAATTATATATTTATATATTATGTTTAGATTTGGGCATGGGAAAGAGTTACTCTCCTCAAACCTCAGGTAATAGCACAAAGGGACACCGGAAATAATTTTCTTGTTGGTTTACCTAGGGGTCCACGTGCTACTAGATGGTTTGCACATTTTAGTTGGACTGATACCACTAAGCATGTGTTGAAACTCATTTCTTTTCTCTTTTTGTAGTTTATTTGGGAACCATATTCGGATGACTTAATTGAGAATCTTCTTGACTATTGTCGAATTGGACGAGACATATGGCGTGTTAGAGCTCCAATTTTTTGTTGGGATGTCGTCGAGGTTCACTTGCCTGATCGAGTTATGAGACAATTTGGATTGAAACAAACGATACCAACTCCATTTCTATTTGACGCCACACATTTTCACCATGATCGTAGGGGCAGACCAAATACAAATTGGAAGTTGGAGCATGCACAATGGTTACCTTTTTGAAACCAACGACTTCAATATATTTGTGATGCACCATTCAATCATGAACCACTTCGATATGATGACCCTTACCTTACTTGGTTCAGATGCATTACTCGTTTTGTTATCGGTAATCCTACTCAGCGTCCTCAACAACAAGAAGGTTATGTACCAAATTCAACGGCATATGAAACAATGGTATGTATTAGATTCCGTGTGTTCTTGATTTATCTTTTGAGGATATATCAATGGCAGGGTAAATATTACTTCTTCTCAAAAAATTTGACTTGGAAAATTGTTACTTATGTTTTTTCTTAGAAAATATTATATAAGTGCTTCAGATTGATCTTTGTTTGAGCATCTGTTAGAAAAAAGAATCGAAAATACTTGTTAGAAAAAGAATTGATCTTTGTGTAGGTGCGTCATATTCATTCCATGGTTGATAGAACGAGAGCACTTGGTGATCAGCCATTAATGGAGGATTTATACATATTTCGTGCAATGGTCCGGAATGAAGGAGAAAAATGCTTGACATATGTGCACGAGGCTGATAGGATTAATATACAAGCCGATTATAGAAGAGATGAGGTACATGATGATCATTTACATCCCCCTGTTCGTAGGCGAGGAAAATGTGGTGTTGCTGGTAGGATGGCTCGTGCTGTTGAGAAAGGACGAGCGCCTATTGAAATGGACGAATCAGTCTCCGAAGATGATCACACAACTTCTGATATTGGTTCCATTTCAAGGGGCTAAACTCAGGAGTTCACTCCTGGGGCATCAGGTATGACATATCAACCAACAAATACTGATATTGTCCCATACACAACATCACAAATATTAAGGAATCCAAGTCTTTCGTCACTTGAGAATGTATTTGGTAGTTCTCGGCCTCAACATTTTGAGAATGCCCCCAACTTTAATTCATCACCTGGGCTGCCAATGTCCATTGAGACCCATGATGCTGTTAATTATTTAGAGGACTCCAACAATAATATAGAAAGTAATGAGTTGGATGACTCCAACGATGAAGTGGAGAAAACAAACTAATGTGGTGAACCATCAGTGAATGAGAATCATACGAATTTTCCTAAGCGTTGTGAGACTGGTACTATTAACATCTTTATATTATTTTTTGACATAAATGCTCCTCTTTTTAGTTGAATAATTGAAAATTACCATTGCTTGTCAAGGAGTCACTATCTTTGCCAGCATGGCAAAAGAAACAAGCAAAGAGAAACAAATAACTATAATTGAGAGGTTTCATTGTACTCGTCCTCCCCCTCCTCTCTCTTCTCCCTTTGGTTTGCAGATCCATCTCTCTCCTCTTTTCCTTTGCTCTTTCTCGAAACACCACAGGTACTATGCATTCTCTGTTTCTTATCTTTCCTTTGAATTATTTGGTTAGCCATTACTTGCAGAGTTTATATCTTATGTAGATATCATGGAACTTTTGTTCAAGGGTTTGGAGAATGATTAGGCCTTGTAGGAAACAAGGCTGTGAAAGTTCTTTAGTCAAAGAGGAATTTTATAATAAAATTTCGTGCAAGGCTGTGCATTCTTAGGGATCGTTTGGTAGCTGACAAGAGAGAAATCTAGACCATGTTTTGTGTTAGCTTTGAATCTTTACTTTTTGCCTACTCAGAATATTCACTGTAACTAAGACTGCTAATATCAAGAATGAATGCTACTTAGATCTTCATTAAACTTTTATAAAGGTTGTCTTAATTTCTTTACTGTGTGATTTTTTTTTTCCTTGTAGCTGTTAGATACAGTTGAAGAATAATATATTTCATTTTATTTATGCTTTAACTAGTGATATATTCTCTTAAGTCAATCATTGTAAATATCAATCATTGTGCTGCTCCAAGCAATGTGAGTATTAACGCTTTCATTTGCTGAGAACTGTTCAAGATTTATGGGTTTTGGGACATGTTCTACAGTGAGATATTTAGTTTGTCTCTTGAGTATTTCCATTATGCTGTAGACCTACTTTGGGTCCTGATTATATTCTTTGTTCCAGTATAATGATCTCCCCTGCGAGCTTGTGCAAAGCTATTTGGACGAAGTAAATGACATCAATTTCTGGCGTTGAATTTCAATTTTGGAGTTTCTACTCGAGAGTTGTGTGTCCCGGCATTTATTGGACCATGAAGTATTGAAAGAGAAAGAAGTGTGTCCAATTATATAATATCAAACATTTCGAGTTGTTTGAAATATTAGCAATTTGAGCATTTCTAAGTTAAGTTTGTTTTTTCCTCTACATTTATAAGTTTATGCAGTAGATAACTTCATGCACTAATAATTTTTCCTCTATTAGCAATCTGGAAATCTGTAAATCTGGAAATTAACACTAATAATTTTTCATCTATTAGCAATCTGGAAATTAACACTAATAATTTTTCCTCTATTAGCAATCTGAAAATCTGGAAAAATTTATGCACTAATAACATAATTGCAAAAGATTAATGATTATTTGAGTTACATTACAGTAGATAACTGAAAGGAAATTAATACAATTAGACATCGATCCATAACTATTCACTTAAATTTAATTACGATTGAGACATCGACGTCTATCATGTCCAGTCTGCCTACATAATCCATATTCTCGCTCGTACACTATAGAACTACGATCCATTTCATTAGGTATTCTAGTTGTCCTTGGCCGATTAGGACGACGATAGAATTCATAACTTCTCATTGTAAAACTTGGAGATGGCCAAAATGCCTCATGACCAATAGGTGAGAATGACCCAGAATATGTTGCAACATAACTCTCTATTGTGAAATGCTCGCTAACAAAATTTCTAGCTAGCCATCCCATTCTATCAGTTACCTTCATGACATGTGAACATGGGAAGTGCAAATTAACCCATTTTCCATAATCACATTTTCTTTCATTCAGTGAAACACAATGAGAATTACCACCAATACCATCAACTTGTATAGATCTAACCTAGTATACCCCCGTGGGTATATTCCAATAAAAAACAAAATGCCTTTTTGAATTTTCATAATTCTTCTCCCACTTTATTTTGAACCTCCCAGTCCATAATTCATTTTGTTCTGCAAGTTGGTGCGCTATTTGAGACCTACGGGTATACTGTTCAATAGTTTGCTCCAATGAAAGTCTAACCATAGCAGTGACAGGCAAACCTCGTGCTTTTTTCAACACTCCATTAAACAACTTTGAAAGATTTGTTGTCAACACTCCCTATCTTTTTCCACCATCATGGCTAACAGTCCATTTGTCCAAGGGAATTTCCATGAGGTATTCATGTGCTTCGACATTTTCTTCTCTAATTTGCCACATCAAGGATTCAAACTTTCTTACTTGATGGGCTGAAGCAACCCTCCACATTAATCTGCTGAGGTCCTTGTTTGGAAATTTAGATTGAAAGTTGCTCTTCAGATGCCTTATGCAAAATCGATGGAAGGCTCGAGGCTCTTGAAATCGCCGAAACTCCTGCAAACTAGTCAAGATTCCTTTTGACCTATCAGATATAACACATACATCTTGTCTACTTTTTATCACATGTGCACTCAAATTTCTAAAAACCACTTCTATGCCTCTTTTGACTCTGTGTCTACAATAGCAAACGCTAAAGGAAGAATATTATCATTTCCATCAATTCCAACAGCAATTAATAATTTGATCTCATACTTTTCGTAAATATGAGTTGCATCTACTGAAATAACAGGGCGACATGTTTGGAATCCATCTATGCATGGCTTGAAAGCCCAAAATACAAATTTAAAGGTTTTTACCTCTGATGAACTCATAGACTTTTCGTGTTTCCATTCCACAACTGTTCCATGGTTAAAGTGTTGAAAAGCTGTAAAAAATTTAGGTAGGTCACTAAATGATTTCTCAAAGTCACCATACACCAATTCAAATGCGCGTTGACATCCAAGCCACGCTTTTCTGTATGTTACCTGATGATCAAATTTTTCATGAACCTTTGAAATGACATCTACCACCAAGTACTTAGGATTTTTTCTAATTTGATTTAGAAATAGTGATGCAATCAAATTGGTATTTAGATTGGCGTGACCACTAGAAAGCCCTTCAGTCTCACATCTATGATTTTCAACATATTTTCCTATCTTCCAAAGGTTATCTCCAACTTTTCGACCTCGAAGAAACCACAAGCAACCCAATAAACTATAAAACTTACATCTCACAACCCATAGACTCTTGGTAGATGTTACCACCTTGAACTCCTTATTTTTGTGCAAACTCCAAATCGTTACCGCCCGTTTCAACTTTTCTTTACTACTAAAAAACATACCTTTTTTCAAATCCTTTTTTGCTTCCTCAGACCAAATTGAACAATATTCCATCTCAGATTCACATGTAGACATGAAAATGTCTTCCGCATTTTCTAATGTCCTGAAATAGGGTATGTCATGATTTTGTATTTCAGACACGCCTTGTTTATGATTAAGAAGATTTACACAATTCTGAGAAAAATCTCTAATATCATCGATATCTTCATCAGGTTCACTTTCATCACCATCTTTTGGAGGTTCATCTTCCTCCGAACTTTCATCACTAATTTCAGCACTTACATCATTATATAGATCAACATTGGTCTCATTATCTCTGTAAAAAAATATTAGTTAAATTCTAGCAAAATTATAAATATAGAAGCTTGTTTTAAAAGCGATAATTTATACTCTAAAAGGTTATTTCTTCTATCAATAAGAGATAATTTATGTATACTGACAATAAAATTATCTTATTAAATTGTTACACTAAAATTCAGTAAAATATAGATTTGTTGTTTTACTTGGCCTCATAATCTCTGTGACTATTATCACTATGCATTTGACTACTTGACCCTTCACCAAATGATCGATGACCATGCATCGACAATTGTTGGAATGGTGGTTGAACAATCGGTTCTACAAAATGAGGTTGATTGGCCGTGGTAAAGCCATAATTTTGAGCCAATAAATTCATGTGATAACCATGATGACCACTAACTTGAAATACAACATTTTGATCTATTGATTTGGACTTTACATACATCTCCAAGACATTTATATCAATCTTATCCACAAATTTTTGAGGTATGAAAAGGAATTGTAACAAAGATTGGTCATTCTCAATTTTAAACTCAATGAACCTTGTATTGTTACCTTGAATTGAACATGGATATTTTCCAGAAATATCCATATGAATATTTTCACTATTTGTTCCCATTTTCTCATGCAACAATCCAACCAATTCAACATAGTTAGTTGAGGTAGACATGCTAATAATCATTCTAGCACATTCAGTATACCTAAATCCGTTCATATCCGTAATTATTTCGCCACCCCAATACAAAGCAACCATCACATTATGTTCAAAGCTCGTCATCTTTATCCTACACATAAAAATAAGATATTTTTTTTAAAATAATATTAATAAATTAGAAAAATAATTTTAAAGCTATAGTAAGAACTTAACATAATATGATAAATTTGACTTATTTAATTCATACCTGATGAAGTTTTGTGAATATTATTTTAACAATGGGCAACACAAGTGAAAGTTTTGATGAATATTGTTGGAATATGCAAAAAATTCCTTACAACAACATTTATTTTATAATCACATGTGTTGTAACTAACAGTCACGTTTTTAAGGTAAAACGTTACTATGAGTAACGTTTTACAGCTAAATTTGCAGGATTCAATTCTAAATTTGCAGGAGTCGAAGCCCCGTGATTGGATTCTTTAGAAACGTTACTCAGAGTAACGTTTTACACCTAAAACGTTACTCACAGTAACGTTTTAGGTGCAAAACGTTACTATGAGTAACATTTTAAATTTGCAGGATTTCTTTCTAAATTTACAGGATTGGATGTGATTGGATTCTCAATAAACGTTATTGTGAGTAACGTTTTACACCTAAAACGTTACTCTGAGTAACGTCGTCAGATCCGTCAGCTTTTCTGTCCGTTGAATTTTTAAAATAAAAATAACCTAAAACGTTACTATGAAGTACGTTTATACTACTTTTGTAAAAAACTTAAAAAACGTATTAGTTAGGTGAATTGGTTTTAAATTCCTCTTACTTTGGTCAAGATTTCAAAAGATTAGCTTATATCCATGTAATAATGTTGTAATCCAAATGATTTAACTTATTTAATTACTATCTATTCATGTGACATTCTTTTTGTTTGTCTGCAACGTAATCCTTTTGATTATGTTAATCCATAATATTGACTTAAAAATTTAAGCAGTAACATTAAATCAAGACAACATTGACCCAGAGATTACATATTCTACATTTGGTATTCCATCACCAATTAGATTAATTATTTCGCTGACACGCAATCGAATTGGGAAGAAAGCTACTTAAATTTATTCATTAATAAACTAATCTTTGATCCAGTATGTAAATTAATAAACTAATTAATTTTATTACTCCCTCCGTCTCTTTTTATATGTCATCTTTTTACTTTGCACTTGCATTAAGAAATTATGTAATTTTATCCTTCTACCCTTAATTAATATTTTTGGAACTCAAATTTTCAATCAATGAATAGGAATTAATTTATTTTGATTAATTAATTTAACCAATGAACATGAATCATTTACTTATCTTTTCTAAGTTGGTCAAATGTATATTTTCAAGGCTTACTCACAAGGGTAAAAAAGGAACAATATGATAATTTATGCATTGACTTTATGAAATGACAAATATTATGGATCAACTATTTATAAAAAGAAATGACATATAAAAATGGATGGAGGGAGTAGCATTTACCAGGTCAAATATGAGCTTGGATGTTTTCAACTGAAACAACGAAAAGGAAAGTTCCGGTGATTTCATTTATTACAATCTAGAAAAAAGATAAACGGTATGAAAGCATAACAAAACATTCTGAACAATAACAAAAAAAGAATCGATGCAAATTTTATCCTTACCGCAAAAGTAGACAAACTATTTCTTATAGACCCTCGAATGAAGGGAAAATAATCCAAAACAATTCAGAGAAAAAGAACTAAACCAAAGCGAAAGCATATAGCAAAACGTTCTGAACAATAACTAAAAAAAAAACAATTGAAGTATTAAAAACAATAGATAGTAACAAAAATCGTAAGAAAAAACTACAGAAACAATACTACTACAACTATTTATATGGCCGGATGAGTAATAAGACAACACATTATTACAACCTGTTGGTTGAGACTATCATTAATTAATAAAAATGTGCTCTCTCTAACAACTTAAGATTTTAGATGAGATGGTTACGCATTTCCAACATGATATAAGAGCACACAGAGGGTCGTGAGGCATGTTGCACCTATAAATAGCCTCTAAAGTAGTACCCGACCAGTTGAGAAGCATATATCATTATACTTATATTCTTTAGTTTTGTGTTTCCATTTTTGCTATTTTTGTGCTGCATATACTGCACAGAGAAGCAGAATAAGGAAGAGGAAGGGGCAGATATCGAAATTGGTGCGACAACGAATCATAGCGGAGGATTAAAAGATGGAAATATGATTATTTTAGCTGTCGCTGGTGGTGCAGCGGCAGCCACAGCGGTTAATAGCAATAGTGGTGGTTGTGGAGCAGCTGCAGGAGGAACCAGCACTACTGCAGATGCTGGTACGTACCAGAGATGTTGTTGCGGTGACGGGGGTGGTGATGGTGGCGGTTGTGGTGGTTGCGGTGGATAATTTAAAGTGATTTATACTTTTTATTAAGATGAGAGGAGATTGCTCGGGTGCGTGATAATGCAAATTAATAGGGTTTTTTTTTTTTAGGAATTGGGGGTGCACAAAATAAATGGTCAAACCTCGAATGTTAAAAGTAGTAAATCTGACGAGAGGGTATTGCTTAGATGGTAAGTACTAGGCATATTTCACCACAAACCTATAGATTGTGGGTTTAGGCCTTTTGCGAGGGTTGAATTGTCAATGTTAGCATCTCCTTCCTTCTTTTTTCTGTGAAGGATTATTCGTGTGTTGTATTCGAAGGTAATGCCAAGTCTCCGTTCTTGTATTTGCCTTATGGTTTGAGATAAAAAAATTTAAGAAAAAACAAAATAACCTATATATAGATGTGAGTTCGAGTCCGAAAGCAAAATGTAAAAGCTCCTAAGAAAGAGGCTGATTTTATTTATATTTCTTTAAAAGGTTTAGTGAATAATGATGTTGATATCACAATGATTAACTTATACAAATATCTACTAACTAGAAGCTAAAATCTCACAAGGCTAAAACTATATTTCCAAATAGAAGCAAAACTTACGAGAAAAAATATACTACTAATAATTTGTGAATTTTATCCTATGTATAAAAGGGTATTGAACGATGAAGAACTGAAAATTTAGCCATAAAAAAGTGCTTTTGACGTTTAAGAAGTTTGACCAAACAGGCTCTCAACGATCACTCATGTAATGTTTTATTTCTTTTTTTTTCGTTGAAAGAATTTGTAGGAACATATAGTACTTATTGGTACATGTACTCAATCAATTTCAAAATAATCTTCTAATAGATGCCCACATCAATTTGATTAAAAAACCAAAAAGATTTATAAATTGTCCTTTTTTTTCTGTTAACTTGGAATGAAATGAGGTACTATTAAATCATAGATTAACAAAATTATCTCAAGTACAAGCTAAGCTAGTATCCACTAGGCCTAATTGTTAGAAAATAGCATACACAGCGGAAGCATTCCAAAATCTTACAACTTGCATGAGTATAGACAACAATCACAAATACGTATCACATACAAGGTATGCTGAAAATTAACTCAGGATTACCTCTTGAAGCGTGTGCAGATATCTGGAAGCAAATCCAACTCCAGCTCTACAGTGTTCTACAGTGATCCCAATTAACAATTGAACTCTCTCAATACTTGGGTGGGAAGGTATCGTATAGAATCTTGAAATTTGTCTTTCTAGGTTAGAAGAATCCCTACTTATAGAGATGTCTTCCTAGTCCAAAAAGGAGAAGAAAGTATAAATCCTTATTCTTCAAGAAAACCCCCAAAACTCACGTTTCTTTCTTGGAAGAAATATACACGTTACTTTTCCTTCTTCTACTAGAAAATAGGATTCTGAGTTCTAGTTAAATTGGGCACTGGAGGGACCACATAATTTATTACTGAGGCTTCCTATTATGGAAATAATTCCAAATAATTAATTTGAATTATTCTTACCATAATAAATTACAAATCATTCCACTAAAAATTCGTAATTGCACTCCTCTATTTATATTTCGAAATTCACCATTAAACACTTATGTAATTCCCCATGTTAAGATTCCAGATACTAATCAATAAATTAAATTACTGACGAATTTAATTCAATGATTAATTTCCTTTAGAGCAACACTTAACTTATTTCATGTGCCAGATTCATAAATCTACCGGCCGGGTTTACACATGAAAACTTATAAGTTTCTCATAAAAAGGTGTATCATCAATCTCTATACTGAGACATGGATTCCATCAACTAACTAATTATTTCACCAATATATATTATTATCATCCAATCTACCAGGCATATTGACCCATCTCAGAATCTCACCTTTTAATAAATCAAAACAATAATTAATATATGCAGATCATAATCGTTATATCAAGATTAAGAATATAAGTACATTTAACAGTTTAGAGAATATGTTTTTATCAGTCAGTCTAAACATCTATCTCTGCTTGGTCCCGTTCAATACATACAAAATGCACTAGCACGAGAAGTTAGAACTATACCATTCTCATAATCAAGATAGATTACATTTAATCTCGTGCTACAATCTTTCTGAATTAGGTTCGCATTGAAAATCCTTTTATATAAGTAATTTATTTTAAATAATTTTAACAACCAAATAGAGGGAACATAGAGCCTAACCTCCTTTTCTATATCTTCGAACAAGAAAGATCCTATCCTATTAAGATTCTGATCCATAGATCTTTACGAAACAACTATACTAATGTATTCAAACTACAATTGTTAATGCATATAAAGAAAAGTATTCAAAGTGGATCAAATTGTCAGGTATTAATCTTCTTGCTTCTTCTTCAAAAAGTGGGAAAATCCAATTTATTCATCTTAAGAAGACCTTTAGACACTTCTGGAAGATCAACTTCTTGCAAAAAATCTCCGGGACATGAATTTGAGTGACATATTTTGCTAGAGTATCCGTCACTTCATTTGCCTATCTATAATAGTGTTTAGCTGTTATAATTTTGTGTTTAATTAAGAGTTTTATTTCATCAATGATATCTAGCTAGAATCCTCCAAGGAGGCTTACAAATTTCATTGATCATTTGAACCACTACTCAACTTCTAAAAAGCCTCAAACTATTGGTTAGAGCACCATGAAATATCAATTAAAGCCGCTTGAGGTTCACTATAA